TTGGGTTCAGTGTGCTCGTAGATAAAAAAGTTGAGTGCATCTATGCTGAACCACCCGCCTCGACTGTAGGGCCGCCCTCCTATGAGCTTGGTGGCCTCTGCTGGCCACCGCTCCCGAAGGTAGCTGAGCATGTCGGGACCATTAATGAGGCGCTCTCCAAAATATGCGTTCAGCGCGTGAACACCACAGAATCCCTCTCTCTGCGGCTCACAGTACAACCCCACCGAGGCCGGGTCCACATACCCTTGGGTTGGCGCTCTCTGCTGTGTGCCTGCTGGCCGTGTGTGCATGGATCCGGGGGGCGGGGCTCCACCTCTCTGTTCTGTTGGTGGCGCGGCGTTCTCTCTGAGATGGGCTTGAAGCTGCAAGAAACGTTGCCAGCGTGCATTGTTGGCTTGGGCGTGTACTGCTTTCCAGCCTGCAGGCGGCAAGGGGTGCGCTGGGGGCCAGTTTGACAAGCGTCGTGGAGCTCGGCGTCTGCAGAACATTTTAGGGCAAAGACGCTTGCGCGCAATTTCAAGCGTGCGCGGCTGTCGCCGGGTGCGGGTCTGTTTGCTCTCGCACAGCTGGTGGCAATGCCTGTAACGGGTGGTGTGGTGGCAGTGGGGCCTCCGGCATGCTGTGAGCATGAGTATGCCCAGCAGCATCATCGCACATGTCAGCCTCAGCGTATCAACGCCGTACATCAAGGGGTTGTGGGTGCTGGTGATGCGAACATGTTTAGCATCGCCAGTGTGTACAGCAGCATCAGCCGCAGCGGCCGCAGCCGCTGCCGCAGCAGCACAGGGCAAGTTGGCATTTACAGATGCAGCAGCAGCAGCAGCAGCAGCAGCAGCAGCGGGGTAAGCAGCGTCACGTCCATGCCCAGTGCAGCATACCAGTGAGCTCGCCCGTTCCCAGGCAGTATAAAGTGTCTTCTTACCAATAGCACTTCTTGCAAGGGATGTCGGCGCCAGACCCACGCGCAATTTTGAACTGGCCTGCTCGCGCGCGACAGGTTCATACTGCCTAGCATCCCAGCTCGCTGCCCCGATGGAAGTCGATAATATGTATAGTATCAGCAACTTTATCAGGGTGACGTATGGTGCCAGGGACCAGGATCGGGTGCAGTCGGGTATGCTTCTGCGGGCATCAGTCTGCTCGGGCCCCCGGGGACCCTGAGCGGGTGCTTGTGGAGACACGAGTCGTTCCTGACGGACGCTGGGGGCGCTCGGCCTCCCCCATTTAAGCAGCCCGTCAGATCGTTTCAAGTGCTCATGTGCGCATGATGATAGCGGACACATTCACAAACACAATTTCAATCACGACGCACTTGAGGTCAGACTGCCATGGGCAGCCTTGGGCATGGAGCCGCTGCAGGACCTGCCGCCGCTCCCAAGGGGCCCGCCCACCAAGCTGCTCAAGCAGCGCATGTCACAAGAAGACAAACAGAGGCTATCTCAAGCACTGAGGGAAAGCTGGGGCCGGAGCTTGCTGACCTGCAAGCAGATAGAGCTCCTGAAGGCGCGTGAGAAAGATTTGGACCCGCACAACGCATGCCTTTTGCAGAAGGACCCTTGAGAACGGCACAGGTTGGCGACCATCCAGGGTGCACCGGCACACCAGTGGGTCGACCAGGTGTCAGCAAAGGTGTGTGACATTCTACATAAGGCGCAGGCGCTGGCCATAGTCACCTGCACCACAACATTGACCAACCCTGGGGCCCCCGGCTCCATGGCCGAGTGGTTTAGGCACTGTAGTGCCAACCGCTCCAGGTCCAGGGTTCGAACCCCTATGGAGACACGAGTTGGTTTTCAGCCAACATTAAGGGGAACCAATCCCTCACGATTGGGACCACACAAGGAATTCCAGTCCTTGCCAATCGCGTCGCAGGTGCCCGGCTTAGTGCTCAAAGGCATGGTTAGCCTCTATGCCGCCTATGACATGAGAAATGGGGATTAAGCGCTAAGGTGGTGCTGGGTGAGAACTGCATGGCCGTTGTAGGCATGACCCCAGGGAGAGGCGCGAAATAGGCGTTACGGCCATGGTATGGGAGTCCCGCCCGCAAGGGCCA